GACCAACAGCATATTAGGCAAATCATAATGTATAATTACTGTGCAGGTATCAGAGCCCACCCTTAAGTCAAAAGTACAAGTTACTTATTTTTCAACAGATATTTCTGGGGAGTTCAGACATAAGATAACCCACTTGCATACCTATGTGTCAAGCACATACACTTATGGTGTTGTCACAAACAGAAAAATGCAACCGACTTCTAAGACTGAACTTTGGAGATGTGGAAAATGTTCCTGCAGATTTCTTTGAAAACCTGAAAGCAAGTCTCCCAAAAAGAATAAAAGTTGTCATAAAGGCAAAAGTTTAGACACCGCAAACTAAAAGTTTATTTTATTTAGTTGTTGAGGCTTCTTTGTAAGTTTTCTGTTAAATACAACCCCTTTTCCAAAAAAGTTGGGACGCTATGCAAAATGTAAATGAAAACAAAATGCAATGATGTGAAAATCATTTAAACCATATATGTATTTGAAAATAGTACAAAGACAACATATCAAGTGTTAAACCAAGAAATTTTATTGCTTTTTGAAAAATGTATGTCCATTTTGAATTTGATGGCAGCAAAACATTCCAAAAAAGTTGGGACGGGGGCCTGAGCTCATTTGAAATGGATTGAAGCGAAGTGGGAAAGTGTTCTGTGGTCCGCCAAATCAAAATTTGAAATAATTCTTTTTTGCATCCGTGATGGTATGGGAGTGCATTAGTGCCTATGGCAAGGGTGACTGGCACATCTGTGAAGGGACCATTAATGCTGAATGTTATATACAAGTTTTGATATACACAAGCATATGTTGCCATTCAGACAATGTCTTTTTCAGTGAAGGCTGTGATTATTTCAGCAAGACAATTTACAATCAACAGCATGGCTCTATAGTAAAAACGTTAGGTGCTAAACTGGACTGCCTGCAGATCAGACCTGTCACCCACTGAAAACATATGGCACTTTATGAAACGAGAAATATGACAAAGGAGTCCCTGAACTGTTGAGCAGCTGAAATCCTATATCAAACAAAAATGGGAACACATTTCACTTTCAAAACTACAACAATTGCTCTCCTCAGTTCTCAAACACTTACAGAGTGTTGTTAAAAGAAGAGGTGGAATAACACAGTGGGAAACATGACCGTGTCCCAACTTTTTTGGAACCTGTTGCTGCCATCAAATTCAAAATGGGCATATATAGGGTTTAAATGATTTGCACATCATTGCATTTTGTTTTCATTTACATTTTGCGCAGTGTCCCAACTTCTTTGGAAATGGGGTTGTATATGTTTTCTGCTTTTTTCCTGACACTGAAAAAGAATAACTTGCACATAATGACTTGCACATAACATAAAGGGTCGCTGATTTACTTAATTTCCAGTCAAAACAGTCATTATGTGCAAGTTATTTACTTAATTTCTTAATTACTTAATTAAATAAAGGGTCGCTGATTTGCACAGTACTGTATATATACAGTGAACAGCACTGTATGTAAAAAAAATCATCTGTAACAAAGTTTGGTAAGAACGTAAAAAAAATGTTTCAGCTCATTTATTCAGCACAGAAGTGGCAATGGTTAATAAAAGCCAAACTTTGCAGCCAGGTAATAGGTAATCATTATAAGTAACCTTCAGGTGTAGCGTTCCAGACCAAGAAAAATAGGTTTCTGGCCAAGAAACTTCTATGCACAATTTGCTATAATAATATTATTCCAGATTGGTAAGTGCAACTTATTTACAAGCAAAGTAATTTATGGAAAAGACACCAGGTCCATAGAACATTTTTTCTCATGAAGGATATACCTTATACCAAGAATTTGGATTTAATAATCTGAATCCAATAATCTTAAGCTACAGTTTGAATAGTTGTAGTTCAAGGTATAGTCAATCTTTCTCTCTCTAAAAACTACACCACATTGTAAAGTACCCTAGAGTTTGTCCTTTACCTTTTCACCTAATGAACACTCTTGACTTTTAGCTTGAATTATTTGGCTAGCTAAGAAATCATGCTCCAGATCAATGAATGAAGAGTATAACAGTATCTTTGTTTTCTTTCCTGGAAAAAACAGGATCTTTGTTTTCTTTCCTGGAAAAAAAAGTCATATGATCAGCTTATCTTCATCAGTCACTAACAGGAGATTATGATGGTTTATGTATTTGAATGCCTTGAAAGTAACTGCATTAAAGAGACCCCAGACTGTTTAGAAGAGCATAGCTGCAAAAACTTGTTGAACTCTATTAACATCCATACTAAATTAGACTTTAGTAGCCTTATTGTGTAATATGCTCAAATTATAAATAAAAGAATCAGAAATTTTTCAAGTTACAAATTTATAAGTCAGATGCGGTTTGTGTTATAACTATTTTACAATGGTTGACTAATTAGAAGAATAAAGTTATGTATATTTGACCATGAAGTGTTGAAAAAGCCAGCAAGATCTCACAGTTGTATTGGAATAGGTCATCAGATCTTTTGCTGGTACTTTCCACATCTTATTTTTGGTGTATATCATCATCTGCATTTGATTCTAAATCTGAACATTCTGTTGCCATGCTGAGGTAATTAGTCAGCATAATGGAATGAACAGTGCTGTTAGGTGCAGATGGTTTTGTGGGTCTGTTGCATTCTTTGCAGATTATTGAGTAGAACAGGACACCAATTTCTATATAGCCCAAATGTTCACCAGGAAAATCTAGTTCCACTGTGGACAACATATAAACAGGCCAAAGGCTGTTCTATTTTTTAGCAATGTAAAAGTAAAGGAATACTCATTAATTTAGGCAGAAGGTTTGAAACTCAAACACAGCCCCTCCCTTCAGTGATCTGGCCTCTAAAAACAAATACAGGGTAGACTATTCACATGTTCATAGTCATTAGCATTTTTACAAAAATTATAAGAATAGCAGACATTGGCACAGTTAAATACCTAGCCAAATTTAGCCAAAATCAGCTAGCTATTATTATCCTTGTTAAATTGAAAACCTAGAACCCACTTGCTCTAGGCAATTTCCTATGCAAAATAAATAACCAGTCTAGCATATTTAGAGCAAGGTCAGCATCACTGTTCATTCCATTCCCTTAGCTCCAGTATTGGAAAACCACTGCAAGAAGGCCAGTCTAGCACTGACAGTTTCTGATTACACAGTCATGCTGTTGTAACGTGCAGATTGTCATGTTGAAAACAAGCAGGGATGTCCCTGAAAAAGACATTGTTTAGAAGGCAGCATATGTTGCTCCAACATGTGCATATATTTTTCAGCATTAGTGATCCATTTAAAGATACAGTTACTACTGACATAGACACTAATACACCTCCAAATTCCAACAGTTTTTCAAAGTATTCCTGAGCCCATGTGGTGATATCCATCAGAGAACCATGACAGTTTTTAATGCAGTTCCGTCTGAGGGATTGAAGATCATAGGCATTCAGTTGTGGTTTTTGGCCTTGCTCTTTATGCACAAAAATTTCTCCAAAGACTATGAATCTTTTGATGATGTTATGCACCATAGATGGTGAAATACCAAAAAATCCTTACATTTTTGAGAACATTGTTCCTAAAGTTATTATTTTCTTGATTATTTGCTGAGTGATGAGCCGCGACTCATCTTTGCTCATAAATGACTAGGCCTGCCCTGGACGCTCCTTTTATATCCAAGCATGACTCATGGCTGCATCACCTGTTGAATATGTTTTTGAACATTCCTAGTCTTAAAGTGCCATATCCTAACTTTTTTAGGATGTGTTGCCTCAATTTCAAAATAAATATATGTTTACAAAACACATAAATATGTTATCTTTGAATTGTATTCATTGAAAGTAGATTTACAAATCACTGCTGTTTTTATTTGCATTTCACATTTTATTTGCATTTCACTGTTGAGGTTTGAAACTGTTTTTTCTGTGTTATGCGCCAAATAACTGTTTAGCGGTAAATAAATAAATGGATGGACAACATATATCTTTAACTAAATGTTGTATTGATGTCTAATCAGCTCATATAGAAGTGATGGTCAGGTGGCCACATTCTTTTGGCCATATAGTATTGTATGTCACAATCATGTAAATGTATTCATTTCAGTTAATTTTGGACTATTCTCATAAACATGTTCCCTATTTATAAAGCTTCTCAGAGTAGGAATACTGATCCAGGATATGTTCCTGTTTGTAAGGTCATAGTTAATACGAGAGGAACCTGATCCTAGATCAGTATTTCAGAAGATTCATGATTATAGGTCCAGAACCCATATGCAATTTCCCTTTTTCTGTGTTATGATCATCTTTATCTGGTGGAATCCACACACATGGATTGTATAACAGTATATAACTGGGCAGCATGTATCAAGTATGAGTTCTACAAATCACAGACCACACCAGACATGATTAGGCAAGCTTCTCTGCTAGATCAACATTCTTCTATCATAAGACCAACCCCAGACATTTCTATAGTGAAATTGAATGCTATTCTGGTGGTGGTATTTAAAAGCTAAATTAAAGCAATATTTGAAGAATTAGTTATTTTAGTATTTAATGAAAGTTACATACCGTTCATTACGGAGGTCAAACTGTTCTACACTGACATTCATCTATTAAGCTATAAAGAACCTATTAAACTGATTGGTACACATGGAACAGTCCCCATATAGTAGAATTACTGTTAAAAAAAATTACAGAATTTATTTCCAAAGGCAAAATTATCAGGCACTTTTACCTGGTCATTAGCAGTACCTGGCACTTTTACCTGGTCAGTAGCATTACAGGCTACTGAGAAAAAAAACACCCATAAAAATAGGTCATTAAAGAAGACCAGTGATAATGTATATGTACTATAAGTGCTACACACTCCATTAAGGAAGTAACAAAAACACTGTTCTTAAAGAAATAAGCTTAGAAAAATATGCAGGAATTAAAAAAATTGTAGGTATATATACAAAGGCCACTTCGGACATTCACACAATCAACGTGGCTTCTTATTGTGCACTGCACTTAAATACACTGATAGAAAAACACACAAAGCTCGAATAAATTAAGGCATCTTTTTAAACACACAAGGAAAAAGAAGTGCAACCCATTTAGAAAAAAAGTACAGTATGAGGATAAAAGAGCAGTACAGTATTCCACAGTAGAGGCTATTCTCAAAACAATGTCTCTGGTCAGTTTGTTTTAATGTAGGCCATTCTGCTCAATGTACATTCTGGACAGGGACGCTGCCATGGATTTGGCCAGTTCTTCATCCCGTTTGCGCTGAACCTGTGTGTAGCGGCACCAGTCATCATATTCCGGGTTGGGCAGGCAGCTGTCCAGCAGCACATCATAATGGCCATTGCTCAGCCAACTCAGCCAAATGGCTGGTTTCGTCAAGTCCTCCTCTCCCAAGTAGTGCATCATAGTTGACACGGTAGGGCTTTCCAGACTGCCTCCGGTTGTCAGGTAGATGTTGACATTTAGCATTTGACTCATGGCAAGGAGCTCTGGATACCCAGCCCATGCGCCATCCTGCGCTGCATTGATCAAAAACTCACCAACATCACCTTCAATGATGGGGCTGAATTCGTCCAGGTGGTCAGCAATGTGATGCACCGTTTGCTCTCTGAGGTCCTTGTGCATGGACTGGTCTCCATACGCAGCCTTAGACACAGCCCGGTAAAGGCAGTTCCCATCTGGGATGATGTGGAAGCGGTATTTCTTCTTGTCCTGGAGGTACTTATTCTGCCTTTCTACCTCCGCCAGGTACTGGCTCACCTTCTCATGGAGGCTGCTCCTATTGTTCTCTTTAGTTGGCTCCTGGAGTATCTGCAGTTCAAAAACCGGCTCCTCTACGACTTCGCACTCTTCTTCTTCCACCAGCTGTCGTTCCTGCTGAACTTGCCCTTTGAATGGCAGGACAGCTTCAGGCAGGCCTTCTCCACTGCACCTTGACACAACTCTTTGAGAAGAACCTTGCTGAGTTGTAGCATCATTCATGATACATATTGGTTTCTCCTCTTGCTCAAATGCTCTACAACCATTTCTTCTTGACAAGTTCTCAAACATTGATCCATTCTCACTTATGTCATCATCGTTTTCCTCATAAATGTCCAATCTGCAGTTGGTACGGTCAAAAAGATCATTGATCAACCCTGATCTTTTGTCCAACTCACTCTCTGTAGGAGATCCAAGTGGCTCTAGACGACCCTGCTTCAGAACGTGTATGGGGACGGACTTCTCTACACCGTCCGGCCGTGTGATGACGATTTCGGCTGTGGACGTGTAAAAATGCGGCCTGATGGAGGCAGCAGGCTCATAACAGACGAAGGCAGGCATGTTTCTAGCCGGTTCCTCAGCGTTAACAGCGTTAGCCGCGTTAGCACAGTTCGAGTCCTCTGTCGACGGTTTGTTGCCACTGCTAGTGGTCACGGTTATCGAAACTTTTCGGGCGGAAGCAGGATAGTGTGTGAGGGCGCTGCTGTACAGCTGCATTTTTCCTCGGCCTCCCCTTTATACACGCCGTGTTACTGAAAGATGACAACACCGGCCGAAAATATTCCCCGTCATGAAGCCGTGGGGGCTTCTTCGCTCTCACCACTGTCACTCAGGAGCCATTTCTGGGCTTTGGCGTCAGAAAACACCCCCTACGGTTACATCACCCACTTAATTTTAGAGAGGGGTAAAAGTAGTCGGACACTGCGTCCAGCCCCGCCTGCTCAAAAGCGATGGCCCCGCTTTGGCTGCTGACGGTGTCGCAAGAATCTGAAGGATCTGATGTGTCACTGAGCTTCTCTCTCTCTCCAACACACAGAGTATCTCTCTCTGCCAGAGTATATTTCCATTTCTCTCCGGCTCGTGTTTACACTGCTGAGCGAGGATGGAATGCGGCGAGACTCCAGCACACCACGCCCACGAGGAAGTCCCGCCTCTCTCTTTCTCTCACACACACACACACACACACACACAAACGCCCTCTTGGTTGGGACGAACTGATCTTCCAGGGCATCTGACGCTGGACGCTGAAACTGGAAGCCAGAACGTTGTTTGCACCTCCCCCGCAAAGACATGTTGCCCTCCTTTTACATTACATCACTCTCCGCATCACGGAGCTCGTTCCATTCACCTTATACGGAAAATGACTTATCTAGTACCTTGGGAAAAAAGTGTGAAAAAACATTGATATTTATCATTATATTCAGTTACAACGAGCCGTCACTGTGCCTTAATCCACTTAGAAACACTATGTACAGGATACATTGCTCATTACGTCACGTTCTAGAAAGAGTTTCTACACTCACTGAGCGTCCATCATTGGTGAGTCACTAGATCATAGCTGTTCATTTTTATCTTTATCGACAGCATATTTATTTTATTTAAGATAATAAAATAGGTATGTAAAAGGCAATGTATAATAAACAATATGTGGCTTATAAACAAATTTTAGTGGACTGATAAGATATCCTATGATCAAAATATTAGGCTACTACTGCTACTTCTAATATTATTATTATCATTATTATTAGTAGAAGTAGTAGAAGTAGTAGTCTATTACTACTAATAATACCTCCAACAACAACAACAATAATAATTATTATTAGTAGTAGTATTAGTAGTAGTAGCAGTATTAAACTCTGTTAAAAAATAAGACTAAAAGAAAAGACAATAGGGATAAAAACAGCACTTCATTCACAGAATTAAGAATACACATTGGCTATTTGTTGTATTTGCTGAATTCTATTTGCTTTCAATAATTTGTTTATAATTTATAATAATATAATTTTAGAATATATGGAGTTTATTATAATTTGTGTGGTTGTATGTGTAATGTGCCGACAGAGTACGTGACATCACTGGACAGTTTGATCATTTAAGAAGGCAGCACACCGTTTTAAATAGCTCTCTGAATAGGTGACAAAGAGCTGCGCTACATGTCTGTAAACTAACGTACATTTTCACGTACATGTTTAATCTATAAAAAAATACAAGTTAAGGATTATGTAAATAATGCATTCAGTGTTTTCCTCCTATTTACTTCCCATAGATGCAAAAGTGCAATCGTTCCGTAGGATGAATACTCCACAACACTACAAAAACTTACATACTTAGGTTATATAAAAGGTTTATCACTATTATTTCTACTACTACTAGAGAGAGGGGAAAAATAAAGCTTAAATTACAACTTTTTTGCTCAACAACAACAACAATAATTTTTAATATTATTATTATAGTTGAGCAGAAAAGGTGTCAATTTAAGCTTTATTTTTCTTCTCTCGTATTCATTACAACTTATTTAATTGGTGAACTGAAGATTGCAGTTTTCTACCAGAAGGTGGCAGCCCAACACTCTCCCAAACTGCCGTCACGTTAGCTCAGTGCGCCACAAACTCAAACTGCCACCCGGGGTCGCAACAGACCCTACAGATCGCAGGACGGTGAGCCTCGGCGGTTTGCAACCTCACATGCTTAGTAATCCTTTTACAAAGCACACACCTACGTGTCTTACTTTAAGGAATATGTTTTAAAATGACGTACCCCAACCACCCCATAACGTCTCGAGGCAGCGAAATATTTCGCGATTTTCTTCTCAGTTCTTTCTACCAAAACCACTTCACAGAATGTTCCACAGTCCTGTGTCTGTTTTGTGAAGTTTATAGTCACTTTAGAAGCACATATCCGCTTCTGTATGTCCTGCTCTTTCAGTCTGCCACTGTAACTCTTATCAGCAGCTCCAGATTGGGAATTAGGGCCAGACATACATGACGCATGGAAAAGTCAGCGACCTGACCTACATTTCGTTCTCACGGCGCCAAACACCGCCACATAAACATCAAACCACGACACTACAAGCAGCTTACAATACGGCTGAAACTAATGCTAAAAAGTCATCATATCTCAAACGCTAGTAATTTAGGTTTTTGTAAACACATAGTGAACAGAGGACTCCAGCAGATAAACGAGTATGCAGCGCAGATTGTGGCCACTAAACATCAGACTGGGATTTAAAGCTGCTGAGCGTCATGCAGGCAGATGAAGAAGCGAGGGACTCTGCAAATTAACCCTCCCTTCAGCCTGTAACCCAAATGACCCTCCAACCTCTAGACCAAATGCACAGCCCTCTCAGTCTCTAATCCTCCCCCTGCCCGCAAAGGCCTCTAATCCAAACGGTGAACCTCACTCACAACAACCAGGAAAGCCTCATGTCGGTTACAAATTGAGCTTTTTCCCGCCCTCCTATTTCCACCAGAGTGAGCATCATCATCATCGTCATGATGTCACTAACAGGCAAAACAGTAAACCACATCAGTCTGGATTCAGGTATGGGCTATCAGGTTAAAAAAAAAAAAAAAGAGTTTTTATTCCAGTTTTAGTTAAGACATACTAGTGTAGGTAGATACTGTAAATAGGCTAATTAAGTATTTTAAAATAATTATAAAAAGAAGTGACCTCTCATATAGCCTACAGCTGATGACCCAAAACACCTGAATCTGTACAAATCTCAAATGACACTTCACATGATAATTTCTGACTAAACAGAGGTGATTTCCTTTGAAAACGCTGGGTAATAAAAGCACACACTGCTCAGCTTCCCTTAGATTTGCCTCCCCACACTGCAGATAATCTACATTCATGTTCTCATGTTCTTCCTGTGGTTAAAAAAAACAAACCCTGCCTGCGGGTCAAAATGAGGGAATATGCTAACGTTTAGCACTGACAACTAGCGTACATTCGAAGACGTTAAACCGGCATTACACGTGTTGAAGTCTGCAAGTGGTTTGTCCAAAGCTCGTTTTGTCATAAGCTTGTTTTCCTTTTTTGTCTTGTCTTGCTGCTGGCTCTTTTTCCGCGCTGATGTCAGATTTTTTCCTCTTTCCCCTCTGAGGGGGAGGATCTTAGCGCGGTGAGTCACGCAGCTGTCAAAGAGAGCTGTCACCCAGTTTCATGATCAAACACACACATACACACACACACTCACTCACTCAACACACACACTGAATGAGAGAGCAAGGCAGCTAGTTTCAGGTACAATGTGTTGCGTCTCCAACACATGAACGCGTCGCCTGACGAGTGCTCGGTGGAGAATCTACCTTTCTTTCTTTTCCTGTCTGACGTTTTGGACTGTTTGGAGTGTACGGTTTGACGATTTAACGCTGAAGAGAATCGCCACTTTTTAGAGGGGAATACATTCTACAAAACGCTGCGCTCGTCATCACCAACGTGATAAAAAGGGAATTTTTAGGCACGGACATGAAGACTAAAAGAGGTAAGTACTCTTTGTTCGTTGTCTTAATGTGAGCTTAGCTACCAAAAGCTATCGTTTACGTGTCGCCGTGTAGCCTAAAGGTGTTCATTAAAGTTGGCCATGGTGGCAACATGAGGCTAGAAACAAAAACCTTGTCTCCCCATCCTGTGTCTGCTATTGTTTCCATTCCAGACAAAACAGGCTTTTTCTCACCATGTGTTGGCGGCCTGTCAGAAAAAACAGATTCGCTTCTTTTGCTCGCCGTTATTATTTTGGAGGAAATCACGTTTGGAAAAAAATGAACCGTTAGCGTCGCTTTGTTGACTTCTGCAAGTTTGTTCATAAAGGATGTGCACTTGAAACGTAGCTTATAGACATGTTTTATATTCCTCGATATCACTTTGTTTAAACAGGAAAAGAGGTTATCAGAAATTTCGCACCATACTTTTGTTACGTCGAGTTTTGTATTTGACCACGCGCTCCGTCTGTGTGGAGAATGAGAGGCTCCTTGAGTTTGAGCTACTGGGGAACATTGTTTCTTCCTTAAGTTTTTCTCTGTGTGGAATTTGGGGGAAAGTTCAAAAGATGGCCTTGTAAAGGCACAGCCAGCATATTGGTTTGATAACATTTTCGGGGGGTGATTAAACGTAAAATGCTAATTTGTGTGAAAAGGGGGGGCAGAGTTGCTTTTGAATCGTGATCTCCTTTGTGAAGTTTTGCTTTGCGCACATTCTCCAACCTCGTGTTAGCACGCACAATAGAGCCCTATCTCAGCTTGCTTTATAACATAATTTCGGCCGCAGAGTATGCTAGGTTTAGCGAAAAGATGTTGTAGCGAACTGGAAAAGTTCTTTAGGCTTTTGTAAGGTTTAAAAAGTGGAGAAAACACAGTTTAAAGTGCCTGGAGAGACACATTCTTTTGTTCAGCCTTGAGACGGAGATTTTCAACAGGTCCCTCCTCCCCCTTCTCCATAATTAGGCTAGCCCTGTTCGCAAGCACAGCTATTTTCTTGTAAACTCATACCAGCGTGTCAAAAACTATGATTAAGTTACTTTTACAATCAGCATTTGACTTCCTAATTTGCATTAACATCTGAAGGCCACCAGTCAGTTATTTTGCAGTTGATATTAAGTTTTTTTTTCTCTTTTTTGTTAAGCTGAGACCAGCATGTCTGAGATTACAATGCTATTTTTTTTATAAAACTGTACAATTCGTTTGTTTTAAAACAAACAAGTTTTAAGACTGTGCTGATGACTTTCCCTTGGTGATTGTGTTCTTAAAGCACGCCACAAGTTTTTGTTAAGACACGTTGGAGCACTGACGTTATACAGAAACATTTGTAACTATTTCCTTCATCACATGGCCGGACGTGACAGCAAGGATCTGACACATCAGCTGCTACACACACACACACACACATTCATAAACATGCAGATTTCTAGGCCATTGTGTGTGCTGCTGTTGAGGATTTGGCATTTTGGAGGGAGAGACTGAGTGTGTAAATGGACGGGGGAGGGGTGAGCTGTAACATGTTGACGACTGGCAGTCCTTTGTCCAGCTCGGATACTCTCTCACACAGGCACATAAAGACACACGGCAGAGTTTCAAATTTCATACTTACTCATTCCTTTCCACACAAAACACACTAACTCACTCTTACACATGCACATTCCTCAAGCACCA